TTAACTAAATATGGCTAAAACTTCAAAGATATAATTATTTATGTAATTAGAGACCTTATTTCTTTCTTTATTGTATGTGCTGTTGTTGATAAACGTTTAAACGTTTGTACCTACTAGAGAAAATATTTAATTTAGATGAATAATTTAAGCTACAATATTTAATTAATGAAACATCTCTAAGATTTAATATATTTTAACATAAATTTTATAAATGTATATATGTATTTTCAAGGTATTTCTTCGCGTATTAATATACAGACGTGAAATTATACTTTTTTGTCTGTTTAATTGCTACAACATTGTAACACTTGAGATTGATTTATATTTTTTTCTTGTGTAGAAGTATGAAAGGGCTACTGTTCTCAACTTTCGAAAATGTTGAATTCATATGAATTTGTTTGGACACTAGCGCTTCATTTGGATTTGTTTAGATCTTTTCAAGTTAAGGCTAAAGTGAAGGTAGAAATTACAATCTTATACTATTGCATAACCGTTGCCAATAATGCAAGAATGTATGTGGTGTTGTATAGGCGTATAGAAGTTATTGGCCTTGTTTCGAAGCGGAGAAGCGGTTAAGGAAAATAAAAGGGAGAAAATCAAACAAGTTAGAAAAGCAGCCCATTATTTAGGATAAACCATATTTCAGTGTTAGGAAAGTTTCATTAACTCGAGGAAATATCATCTACGAAGACTGTGAAGGAATCAAGAAAATCTGATCATCATAACCGTATGCGCAGAGTTCTTTTCAACGAGTCTTTCTGGAGAAACAATGCTGATTAGGAAGGATCAGTGTTGCGTTTTAAAAATGAGTCATAATATCTTGAAAATAAGAGGTGCAACGATGTTGGAGTGAAAAAGGAAGGTTTGCAAATGCCGACAATTTTCAGTCAAACACATATTTACAGACGGAAAAAGTATTTTAAAATAATGTAGAAATGTTCAGCGTGTATTCTCAATCCGCACGATGTTAATTCTGAATTCGTAGTCTTTAAGAAGTTGCACAGATGTGTTGCATAGACACCTTACTTCCGTGATATAATTAACATTTAGTTTATTCTTTCATGTTAACAATGGCGTTACTTACAAGCATACTCCTATTTCATTTCGAAGCCTCAATTTCACTAGAAATTCGCGTCCCGCATTCTCCCCAAGTGTCATATTCGGTTCCCGAGCGAAAACGAGAGAGAAACCTTCGCAGACTGTATTTCGTGCGCCGAAAGATATATATATATATATATATATATATATATATATATATATATATATATATATAGAGAGAGAGAGAGAGAGAGAGAGAGAGAGAGAGAGAGAGAGATACGGTTATTCTTTAAAACATGACTATTCATTACGTTGCTTATAAATGATGCCCTACATTTTCAAGTATATTTAAAAGTAAAATATGCTAGTGATGTCCAAATGTTTATTTAAATGTTAGCTATTTGTCAAACTCATCATGCGAATACGACTCAGGTCATTCGGCCTGATCACAAAAGTGTTACATTTTATCTAAAAAATCCGTCCTCTCATATCGAAGGCTGAGGAGGCCCATCATTTCCCGTTAGCCTCTGGGAAGTCACGCGGGCCGCTCCCGATCGTTCTCAGAAGAAGCGACCTAAGCCCGCTTGGGCCACGCGTTTGGGGCGGCGGCGGCGGCGGGCCCACCCGGCCTGCGCGCTAAGTGATTCCCTATTTATTTATTCGACTAGTCTTAACAATTTCCGATCTGCCTTCCAAGATGTGGGCACCGCCAGTGGCTGGGCGGCCCTGTTCCTGTTCGCGCCCACGAGGGAAAGAAAAACCGAGAGTTAAAAGAGGGAATCTCTTGTTTATAACCACGGAAGAGAATCATAAATACGTAAAGACAACCGCGCTTCCATATTTTGATTAATAGTTATGTATGATACGAATAGTAAAAGTGACAGTTTATTTTGCGAAACAAGGAAGATAGGTCGAACATCCAACGAGCCGAAATCCTACGAGAAAAAATAAAATCACTTTAACAACGTGTGTCATACACTATTTGTTAGACAATCTTACTGACTTTCACTTTATGTTCATTCAAGTACACAAATCACTTAATGATACATTAAAGCTGCAATAGTAGCTGATGCGATCAGACAAAAGATTTATCTGAATACTACTTCAGCACTGATCTCTTGAGCATGGCAGCGAAGAGAATAGGTCATGTTCGCCACATGTTCTTTTTACCACCCAAGCATGCGAATGGCGAGGCCCAGGTATGGTGGATACCGTTAGCTAGCCGGCAGAGACGGATAATCTACCCAAAATGCCAAAATACATACATACATTATAGTAAAATATACCTATTTTTTTAAAAATAATGTGTATATCCTTTGAGGTGCTTTTCTACCGTGGCTTTATTTGAAACCGCATTCAAACATGACCAATGATTTGAATCACAAATATTAAGCTACATATTCTTGCCAGAAGCACTAAGAGTGGGAGAAGGGGCGTAAATCGTGCCACTCCTTAAACCTCGACTCCCTGACGTGCGCTGACTCACTCGAGTGGTGACACCGGCGAAACAATAGCGCCTACCGACTGAACTGTGACATCATTATTTAATAGTAAAGCATGACCTCACATAGGATTAAAAATACTTGAAACTGAAAGTGAAATCAAAACGTCGACGCCACTTCACCCTTATTTTTCGTGTTGTTGCATCGGAGATGTTTTTAAGTACGTCCACGATTCTGTCATTTCCAAAAATACGTTGAAGATGTTTGTTAGTATCAAGAAGTAAGCTTCTATTAATAACAATGTGTGTTAAAAATACACTGGATATTTTTTTATTACTTTAAAAATAATATATACTTATTAACTACATTAATTTTACATTCTACATTTATTCATTAGAATTCTGTTTTTTTCAAGAAAGAACAAAATAAAGAAAAGAAGAAATAACAAAATCACACAAGGAAAGAGAAAATCAATTTCTCGTCTTTTAGGTAAATTCCAGATCGTATAACTCTGACATCAAATGCAAGAAATTCGTTCACAACGGTATTAATTTAATAACTGAAGTCAAGGTGTATGTTGTCTTTTGGAATGGAATGTTTTTCTATGTTAAACAATTTACAATGTCCCTTTTACTTCGAAACTGTGACGCGTAATATTTCGTTTCCTACGCTTGTGTGTGAAAACCTGACAATTGTTAATTATAAAAAAAGTATTCGGATGTAAAAATTGGTATTCGCTGTGCATGGCTGACGTATATTAGAGGAATCGCATCGATTCCGTATCGATTGTTCTAAGTCGCCCCGCAAGTCGGGGTGAGAGCGAAGCTCCTGGCGGCAGAGGGGGTTGGCCATTGGGCACGCGCCCGGCAGCGGCGAGGGCGAGGGCGAGGGCGAGGGCGGCGAGGGCACGTGCGCCCCAGCTGGGCGGCGCGCGCGTAAATATTTACCGCGCCACTGGGCCGCACGAGAGGCTGTGGCGGCAACCTCTGCCGGTGGCGACGCGGCGGCCGGCCCTCTCGAGTCGCGGAGCAGCGTCGGCCTCTTCTGCTCCGCTTAAAACGGCAAAATTGCATCTCTTTCTTCTTCTCGAAGCTGTCGACATTGAACGATTGTCCACGTAGACCTTAAGACCTAACACTTGCAGGTATGCTTAAGATAACATATTGGGAAACGTGTGTAAGTGAAGAGAAATAAACTTGCATCACATAGCCCTAAATGACATATTTTGATGTATTTATATGAAATGTATTCTCATTTAGCGAGACAATAAATGGTGTCACACTTTATCCTCTTCGAAATCGTTCTCAGAAGAACATCATAGCAACGCATTAACTTGAAGTAAATATTGTTTTAGTATAAATTTGAAAATTAATAGATGTATGAATGTTGTGCAATTTATTAATAATATTAGATTTACTTGTTCATCGGTTAATGTATATATGATAATTGTAATCATAATATTCCCGGAAGGATATCCCTCCAACCAAGAGACACAAGTATCGTTTCCTGGCTTTCGCGACTTGTTCCTTACAGTCCTCATACCCCAAACTTAACGGGGATTTTGATGAGAAATGGAGTAAACAACTAAAGGTGATGTGTCGATCGCAAGGAAGGATACAAGAGGGAAGCAGGAAAGGGTGCGTGACCCACTATTAATCCTCTGGGAAGCTACGCAGGAGTGGTCGGAGGCGCCCCATGAGGGCAGCGGCTTCGCCCACCCTGGCAGTGCGCACTGCGTCGGAAATGAAACACGATGCCACCATTCTATTTGCCATACGCACGACGATTTGGTGCTTCTCATAAAATTTGATTGCAGTAAAAATATTTTATTTCGGTTTCTTGCCTCAATTTTTTATTCTATTTTCTTTTATTCAAAAAATAATTTTAATTTCATTTAAGAACTGTTTTGAACTTTGTGTTCCAATGAATCCCATGTGTAAAAGTGAATCCCATTACAAAAGTAACACCGGCTTTATTGGCTCAGTGCGTCAATGGAGGTTACTACAGGGCCTCTGCCCAGGAGGTGCCAAGGTAGGATTTACGGCTTTATTTTTTGCTAGGTTAAATTCAGAAGGTTTGTGGATGATAATTCTAGCAGCCGGCTGCTGTGATGGGTGTTTCCAGTGGTTTCTCGGAACACCAGACGAATATCGAAGCAGTGTCCTAGCAAACGGGCTGGGGACCGCGCGCGATCCCTTTCTCTTCTTTGTCCTATCCTCACTCCTTGCTTACACTGCACTATCACACGTGCCAGGAGACCAGTTGGGAGCTTATAACTTGTCGCAGCTCGGGCGGTACCCCACTGGTGGGCGAAACCTGGTTGGGAAAACCGTTAGTCGGCGCTGTATTTCGGAATCCAGCGGGAGAAGAGCACAGCAACCTCCCGCGATCAAACATACCCCAAACATGTCACAAACGGCCACGGCAGGTGGCGCACCCGAAATTCCTAATCAATGAACCTCACCCTGCAAATGCCTCCCGTGCGATGAGTAACGTTGTTTTCTGTTGTGTGTGTGGCAGGCCTGCGCCTGAAGCTGAAGAGCGCGCTGGTGGAGGTGCGCGCGCGGCAGCGGGTGCGGCTGCACTGCGTGGTGAAGCCGGGCAAGGCGGCGCGGCCCGACCTCACGCTCAGCTGGTTCAAGAACGGCACGCGCCTCGAGCGCGGAGACCGCATCCGCGTCAAAAAGTGAGTCCTCCGCCCCCGCCCCCGCCCCGCCCCGCCCCGCCCCGTCATCCTCTAGCACGCCCCTTAGCAGGAGTCTGCTCTTTCAACGCCTGTCGGATTTTACAAAAGAAATCGAAACTGTTGTCGCGCGTAATCCCTATGTGGGAATTCCTGCGTTCTCTTACAGCCACACTTGCGTATAATCGCAATGGATTTTTATGTTAGAAGTTGTCGATGTGAAGAAGTTCTGCAGTCAATTCAATGTTGTGAATGTTGTTCTATGAGACCATTTGTGTCGCTGCGGAAAGTATAGAAAATGGTCGAAATATGTCTGCCGTCGTCAACATTCAAAAGGGATTCGTTGTCGGTTTTTTTCGGGTTTTGCTTTTTTCTTGCCTACGATTACCTTCTCTACATCATAACTTACTTGTCAATATTACTCGTGTATCTATTCTTTCATTAGTATATCTTCCGTATCCGAACACAGGTACAGGTAAGCATACCATCATATTCTTGTGTGATGCCCACTTCTTGATTAATCACCCGGAAAGCATTTCTCACAGCCCGTACGGTAACCGAAAACACAGTACACTTGCAATCTTCGGGGATTCACTATTATTGCTCGTACAAGCCCTTCTTTAGAATGAAAGCTAGAGCAGTAAGAATGGTAAACATTTCGCGATTGTTGTACGAATATGACCCACTTGGGTGGATTTCCTTTTGACGAGATTTAGTGGCGTAATTCTGTTAGAAAAGGATAATTTGTTAAAAATAAAATTAACGTTCAGAAACCCTACTTCCTCTAATCCATCGCCAGAAACGATAATTCCAAATATATTTGTGATTCTGACATAGTGCCAAAATCTGTTCAACAGTTCTAAATCTCGTATCATGGCACTCTATTAAGCGTAGAGCCAGGCTATTTTATTCATTATATTAAGACTTCTGAGAGTGTGAGTTTAAATTAAATTTGCTGTAGCGTCACGTCAGCCTACAACAAAACGTAAAGGTTACACAGGGGACAGAATAAAAACAAAATCGGGTCACACACAAAAGTTTCTGCCAAGAGGCCACGAAACAATAAAACTGCCTCGAGTGATCTCAGGAGTCCCGACACGAGTCGTAGCCTCCGCATACGTGCTCTTTCTATGGAGCCCAAGGGCACTTCACGAATCCATAAACTTGAATCTTTCAAAGCCAAAGCAGACATAGGAAAGAGTATCTTTGAATCTTCAGCCTCTACATATTTTATTTGTCAGGAAGTGTTGTTGCGCTGTTTGCGAATTTCGTACATCATACAATGAAATAAAACGCGTTCTCTATCATATAATTTTGCATCTGCAAACATATTGAGTCTATTAAGTAGCTGTACATAATGAATTAACACGATACATTTTTAAGAAGCAAAACCCGTAATCCTTAAGGGGATGGCACATTTAGAACAACTGCACTTTAACGGAACATTTAATTTACGTTAACTATAATTCATCTCTTTTACTACGAAAATAATCAAATCAAACACTATCGTAAAATAACCTTTCTATTGCTCAGTATGTAGTAGTATGTACGTATCAAGAAGGAGGAGGTATTCTCAAATATTCGTATGTTCACGTGGGGATCACATCCCCCAGTTACCGTTGAATTGTCAACTTTCTGTTAAATGCGAGTATCCCCCAAAATTCCACACAAACATTCATAATAACTATTAATATAACGATAATATTATATTGAAATTTACCAGTGAACGTAATTTGCTTTTTGTGAATAAAAGTAGAAATTGCATTAGTTTATTACCTTTCTCAAATCTCCGAAATGAATTCGATCTGCATGTTAAACCAGGTCTCAATTGATTCCTCTTTGTTTTCATTAAGACTCGTTCAGCTCTACAAAATCGTCCTTTCCAGAATTCTGATCTCTTCCTTTAGCTTTGTTTCTTATTACTTAAATTGTTTTAACTACAGATTCATTCTTCGTGCATCTATTGTCATTTATTTTCTATTATATTTTTCTTGTACTACTCTTGCATTCTTCTTTCCATCATGTTTGCTTCCCTTTCGTTTTTGTATCGAGTATATGCCATTTTAAAATACGGCTTACATGTCTACAACCACCATCTTTCAAATATTGAACTGGAAATAACATAAGCCGAGATCGCAGACTAGATGTTTCCACACTTCGAAGTTGCGCTGAACAAGCACACGAGAGGCGTTCCTTGGAGACACCCCTCTCCCACTCCCTCTCCTATGCCCACTCGCACCTCCACGCTCACTCTCACTCGAGTCCCACGCTTAACCGCATTCCCACTCTCGCTCCTACTCGCACTCTCACTCTCACTTCTATTCTCGGGCTCACCCCCACTCCCACTCCCACTCCCATTCGCACTCCCACTTTCTCACTCGCACTCCCACACACATTCCCACGTCGACTCCCACTCACTCCCACTCGTCCTCCCATGTTCACTCGCGCCCCCACGACCACTCGCCCTCCCACTCATCTTCCCACTCGCACTCCCACACGCAATTCTCAAGCTCACTCCCACTCCCACTCGCTTTCCCTCTCGCACTCGCGCTCCTACTCGTTC